TCTGTCACTTCATACTTCTGTCATATGTATTCGTGTATGGGGGGAGGGGTCGCCATCTGAATCTTACATGAGGAGAAAGACCCTGGACTTTCATTATTACGCAAAATCTTCGTCGGCTGCTTAAAAAGAATCTCTCTCACACATTCAGTTCTTTGTTTTCACCATTTCTAAGTCTATCTACAAAACTCCCCAAATTAGTGTAGTATGTGACAATAAGTGACACGTAATGCGAGAGAGGTAGAAATGAATGACGTAAGAAATCTGTGGAAGCTAATGTAGAGAACGCTCAGCTTTTAATCACGTAACAGGAAAAATCTTCAGCTTGAGCCCCAAAGCCAACCCTCCACGAGCTTTTTCAGACGGCTCCTTTCCCTTACTTACTTTTCTTATTTCGAGTGTATCGTTTTCTAAATGTTCCAAAACGAACTGACCTAAAGGTGCTGAAAGCTAACTTTGTAGTACCAGTCATCCGTGTGCGAAAAATATTTTCACAGAAAAAGCAAGTGCAAGAAAATATTTTTTACCACAATAAATTGCTGGTTCCACATTTCTTTGAAAAGAGGAGGGGGAAAAACCCTGTGAATAATTAGTGATGTGCTTCAAGCGCCAGCCCAGCACCACTGAAACTTACAGGGTGCCAAATTACTTAGCTGAACAGTATTTAAATTAAAAACTAATGACTAAGTTAATTTAATGCATGTTCATCTCTGGTCCAACTCTGTTCTCTACTAATTGAGCTCCAAAATCTATGTTTTAAACATGCATCCTAGTCAGTGAATAAGAAACATCTGAACACTTGAATATAATAAGTCAGTTACTAATAACAACTTCTTTTAGTCTAAATTTTATTGTTATTTTAGATGTCTCACCATAAACTATTTACTGGACCACTCACCAATGGGATGAAAGGAATAATGTGCCACAGAAAATACCCTTAGTTAATAAAATGAGCTACATAAGCTAATTTGAGTGTTTCATGTTTGAGCTCTAAGGCTTATCACCCATTGGTATATACCCAGTGCTCCATCAACACCTTTAAAAACCAGGCTTCCAGTGTTCATGTTGTGGGGGGCGATGACCCAAGCCCTTCATCCCCCTTCACCCCACCCGTTCTCCAAATCCATATCCCTCCTCTCTCTCTCTCTCTCTCTCTCACTCCTTACCGAACGATCCATTTAATATAGAACTCCTTCATAAATCTGCAAGAAATTATAATAGTTTACAGATTTTTTAAAAAGTGTGGAGAATCCGTCCAAAAAAAGAAGTTATGGTAAAATTCCAAAGGCACATAGCTCAGCACGGTCTGGCAGACACATGGCATACCTACCCTCGAGAGGAGGGCGCAGAACAGGCCACCCTTCGGCTTCTGCAAACCATAAATGTCACAAACCTTCTAAACCACCCACCGAGGACCAACCTAAATCTGTATGTGGGCTCATCTACTCGAGCCCACAACAGTCACTGAGCATAAAACACACAACATGAAACCAAAGGGGGGAGAAATGTTTTCACACTATAGCACAGAAGAAAACTTAATAAGCAAACACTTGTCCATAAAGAGCTGACAGCAAGAAACCTCCCAGACACCACATGAAAACAATAGCTGAATGCGGACCTGGCACCAGAACAAACGGACTGAAGTTATGAAAGCTGGGATTTGGAAAGTGTCATAATTATTTATAATAGCAGCAACTGTCCTGGATTCCCCTCATCAAAAAATAACACAGAGGCAGGCTACCAGCCATCAATTTCTGGGTCTTACAGCGTGTCCCGAGGGTGTAATGTTGTCATGGAAAGAAATAGCATAGGAGCCAGAGAGCCTGATTTCTGGGCCCATTTAGGCCACGAACTGGTTATGGGACCTCGGGCATGTCACTACAGAAGTGTCAGAAATCTGAGCATGTCAGAGTATCTACAGGCTCAGACTTAGACTGTTCAGGGGTTGTGGGGGGAGGTGTTGGAGGCAGGGAGGCAGAAGAACATAACAGCACAAGGCTTATGTATTTATTTCAAGAATCTTCCATGGAAGATGTAGAAATGAAAACATAATCATCCTTAAGAAGCTTTGAGAGATTTGAAAAAAAAGGGACCTATCCTTGTTCCCAGGATATTGACAATGTATTTCCTGAGATAAAATAAAGAGAAGGAATTAATCAAATTTTCTTTTGTTGGAAAAGTCTAATCTGCCACCCAATACCAATATGCCCTATGAACTATTCCCAAAGTGGTTTCCTAACCTACACCTGACACCCTCCAATCACAGGAAGTCTGCTGCTTCACAAGCCGACCCATCCTACTACCATGAAACGGATGTTAAGCATCTTTCTTCTAGTGAGTAAAAATCAATGTCCTTATACATGCTGGTGGCCCTGGTTCTGCCCTCCAGCTTCATAGAATATGTTAACTCCTCCTCCTCAACCTCATCTTCATATGTTTGGAAAGGGCTGCCCCATTCCAATCCCTCTCCCCTCTCTTCAGCCAGGTTCAGTGCTCACCCTTCTCCCAACCCTTCCTCGCCTAACGTGGTTTCCAGAGCATTCATTAGCCGAGTCTCCCCGCGTCCCGTTTGGCAGAGCCCTCTTAATATATGGCACCAAGAATGGAACACGATATTCCGAATGTCATCTGACAGTTATAGCCAATTCGAAAGAACATTCACTGAGTGCCGTCTGTGCTCCAGACTAATATTTTTCTTGATCTTTACCATATTTTTATTAGTGCACCCTAAAAACACATTAGCTCTGTTTGTTTTAACCCATTTCAGATGACCATGATAAAAACGAGACCAGATTCTGTTGCCCAAACTGTTAGTGTATCCCTCTGCTGCCAGTTCTGTGGTCATTAGAGAAGGACAAGTGTTTGAGCCACGTGGATCTGGGTGGACACTGTCATTTACTAACTCGGCCACCTAAAACTGGAAAAACATGGCTTCACATGCAATATTTCATTTGAGTCTCTATTAAAAACAATTTTTAAAACTCAGAGCCGATGACAGATTTGGGTGGCCCAGAAGATTATCCTCTAGATTAATAATGATCCACCAATCTAATTAAAGAGGGACTGTCACTTATGTTTTAGGAATAGAAGATAAGATGGTCTAGAGTAAGGTGTCCAACCCGTGGTCCAAGGGCCACATGCGGCCCAGGATGGCTATGAATGCCGCCCAACACAAAATTGTAAGTTTACTTAAATACGCTTCATTTGCTCATCAGTTTTGGCTAGTGTTTATGTATTTAGTGTGTGGCCCAAGACAACCCTTCTTCCAGTGTGTCCCAGAGACACCAAAGGTTTGGACGCCTCTGTTAAATAGTGAAGGAAAAGGGAAGAGAAGCACTAACTCTGAGCCAGGTGCTTCATCAATATTACCTCATTTCACAACAAAATGTAAGGTAGTTATATTGTTTTCATAGAGAAAGAAATTAAAAAAGTAAGTAATTAAGGAATGTGACTAAGATCACGATGGACACGAGTGGAAGAGCTGGGCTCACAGAATGTAAATCTTGAGAAACTGAAATCAGTTTGAAGATAGAATTTTTTCTTTTTAACATTTCACAAAAAGGTTTTTGTGGAGGAAGAAAGAGGATGCAAGAGTCTAGAAGAAAGGTCCGTCACATGAAATACTGCATGTGAAGCAGGGTTTTCCCAAATATAACACCCTCCTTCACAAACCCTCAACAGTCTAAGTCTGAGCCTATAGATGGATACTCTGACATGCTCAGTCCGAAAAGGCCTGGGGTCGTCTAGATTTCTGACACTTCTGTAGTGACATGCCCGAGGTCCCATAACCAGTTCATGGCACAAATGGGCCTAGAAATCAGGCTCTCTGGCTCCTATGCTATTTCTTTCCATGACAACATTACACCCTCGGGACACGCTGTAAGACCCAGAAATTGATGGCTGGTAGCCTGCCTCTGTGTTATTTTTTGATGAGGGGAATCCAGGACAGTTGCTGCTATTATAAATAATTATGACACTTTCCAATAATCTGGAGGAACAAACTTATGACAATGTTGTGATACTGCTGGGCTGTTTACATCACATAAGTGGACAGCGGGAGTTGGAGTCAGAACAGACAGGAATCCCGGTGGTATCTTGTGACATTGTCCAGGCCGGTGGCTGGGAAGGGACAGGGCGGCTTGGTGTCTCAGCCTAACCCTCACGATGGTCTTAGAGACCTAACTATGCCAAAAGGAGGTGGAAGAACAAATTCTTCAGGGAAAAAAAGATTTCACGCAATAAACCAACCTGCACACATAGATACGTATACACATCTAGTAAAAACGGATCCAGGTACTGAAATACATGCAGTGCTTTTCCTCCAAAAGGCAGTGGTTAGGTGTTTAAGAGATTTCACATTTTATGGTCCACTACTTTTAAAGTCACGTGTGACTTTTTATGTTCCAAATTTTGCCTGGTAAATATTTTAATGAAAAAGGTTTTTGTATTTTCATAACAATAATGGAAGCCTCTTCTTTCTTATAGCTGCTATTTCTGATTAACTACACACCCACCCCCATTTCACTTTCCCCAAACCCTTCAATGCTTACTCTGTCAGTCACTGCTAAGTCTGAAAATCAATTATTCAGCATCTCCTTATGTCTTATTTACTATTGATATAAAACACTGGTTGGCCTAAACACAAACTATGCTTTACTATCCGTCCGAGAGGAGGACAATAATTGCCTAGGGGTGAGAAATGTGTTTTCTACAGTGTTTTGCGATTCTATCCTTATCTCCTCTGTTCACCCGAGACGGTGCCAAATATAACTATCAGATTTGGTACGGAACACTTTTGATGGCTGGAAAAATTCAAGCTTTCTTCAATAAAAATAATTCCTAAATATGATTCAAGCCCAAATTATTAACTATAAAAAATATAAACCTTATTTAAATGCTTTAATTAATATTTTTTAAATTGCTCCCGGTAAATGTCTTACAAGATAACCCAAGGATTACAACACTTTGATAATATAGTCAATAGAATATAACAACACACTCACTGGAAGACTTAGAAATTCATTAAAGTAGTCCACGAGGAAATTATCTGTTGCCAAAGAATCCTCCTGCAAAAAACATAAAAACCGTATTACGCTTATGCTGTTTTCAAACATGCCAATACTATTCTCTAATTCTGCTATCAACAGATTATACATAGATCTTCAACTCTTTTTCAGTCAGTCCACACTGAATCCTCACTATAAGCAGAAAACAGTGCTACAACCTCTGGAAGGAAGAAATTGGAAAATCGAGTGGAACATACCCTTAAAAGACTGGTCCCTGTACTTAGCTGGAAAGCAACATGTGAAAAACACAGCACACTCCTAAATGATACATCAACCAATACAAAATGCTATACATGGTACATTTCCCACAGGCTTATTAAAATATATATTTAATAAAAATAAAGTCAGAGCAATAAAGATAGAACCAGTGATAGGGGTTAAAATGAAATTCAGAATGTAAATTTCTTAAGTTGCCTAGTGAAAATAATAAAGTAAATGAAGAAAATATTCTGCAACTTCCCCCTCACAAACGGACACAGATCTAGCAATTCAGACCCTGCTTAACTTCTGCATCAAGAAACTCTGACAATGCAAGCGTTCAAAGAATAAAGATTGTGTACATTTTTTCCATAACTATTTCATCCCCCAACACAGTCATGTTTAAAGCGGGCAAAATTGGGGAGCTCCTGCCAAGAACAAATGCTCTCTTCCAAATAAAACACCTTATTTTATTAGTAATTGTTTCCATTGTGGCAAAAGCACAACATGGCATACCATGTTGTATAGTACATGTGTTTATTTTGTTATTCATAATTATATTTCAATTTCACAAATCCAACATGAAAGTTGACAATATGACACAATGCTATTATTTCCATATGGCTGATTATTTTCTTTTTGCACTGGCCAAGTTTTTAAAAATGTGTTGAAGTACAGTGTAAAAGTATAAGGAGGACACTACAGTAATATTAACACCTACTTTGAAAAGTCGATTCCCAGGGTAATTTCTTTAAATGATTGTAGTATCGAGATAGAGTAACAATCACTTACAGGATTTATACCAAAGAACTTACTACAAATCTGAACTGATTAAAATAACACCGACGAACTTAGGATCTCCTAAACCTCCCGCCTTCCGAGTGGCACCTCACCGATGCACTCTCAAAGTCCTGACTGGCAGAGATCTAACAGAGCAGAACAAAGCAGATGACATTTGGTGGCGGCTAGGAAGCTAACAACCTTTCGAATTTTACCTTTCCAAGTTACTTTAATTTCCTGGACTTCATTTAGTGAACTACGTAGTTTCTGCTAACTCCTGGGAGAAATGGGTTGGATGCAATAAGTACTTTTGCATCTCTTAGGTAGCGCTGTGCTACAATAAGGGTGGCCACGTTTTGTGCTGCTGGGCTCACGACCAAAAATCCCCAGATGGGAAGGGTGCACATTTTTCATTTATAATGGCAGTGGATTATTTAGCTATAAAAGAGAATGTGTATTTCATAGAGTCAGGTAGAGCTAATTATTGCCTAGAATTTGGCCAGCCACATCGCCAAAAATTTCCAGATAATCCTCAGATTCATATATTCATTTCCAGATGGCTCACACTTCTAAGAGACGTTAACTCAACACTTTCCAAACTGTCTGTGATGAGTACTGGTTTTGTTTTGTCCTTAATCTATTTCAGATAACTTTTGTAAAGCACAGTAAGAATGAATGACTAGAAAATGAAATAAAATATATACATAATACAAGCCCACTTTAAAAATTAAATTCAAAAAATAAATAAAAGTTAAAATGAAATTCAATAGTTATAAACATATGCTGTCAAATTATTCTGAAGTTTCTAAATGTCCTCTCTCAGTTTCTGAACTCATCTTGACATGGACTGAGAAGTCTCAGGCAGCAACAGTCTGCAGACCCTCAAAGCAGCGCTGCCCTGACCAACCCCTTGGTGTGCAGTTTGCTTCTAGTGCCCTCGGGTGCCCCTGAAACTGAACCCACTGCTGGATTGTGTCCCTGGCATTCAGTCACATCCTCAGGTTTGCACTTTCACCCACGGACACTTAAAGTATTATTCAAATACATCAAAATCTGTGTTTCTTTTCTGTAACTGCATCTTAATTTCTACCAATATTCAACATCACTTCTGTGATGGTCTGGTATCAGGTCAGGGTGCAAAGGGAGTAAATACAGCCTGCTAGTGCCATCTGCTCCACTCCCTGGTTACTTTCACTTGAAGGCCTGCACTTCCCTAAGCAAAGGAGCCTCTTTTCCGCTAGTACAGTGCAGCCAGGCACTGTGTCACATTAACAACAAATGGTCTCATGAAGCAATGAGGATGTGACAAAGGCTTTATTCTCCAAGCCTTTACATTTTTTTTAATGTTTTTTTTAATGCCCTGATCAGAAGAAACTCTCAGTAAGTTTCCACAATCCAGTCACAGGATCATATTAAAATGAAAGAAGTCTCCATATTCTTGCTTCATATCTTTCAAATAACCAATAAACTGGTGATGGTTAATGGCACAATCAAGAAGAAAACTGAGTTACAATCAATTCCTCCATTACATCATTCCATGAACCTGACTGCAAAATTTGCAACCCAGACTCTCTGCTGAATGATGCAATGGAAGGTAGAAACATTTCTTCAGAACTGAATACACTCTCAAAACCTGCTTGTTCATGTATTACAGGTGTGCCATCTGTGAAAGTGAAGTCAGCTTTTCCGCTTTTAGTCTAAACTTCTCAAAATTCTTCCCGAAAGAGGGTCAAGCAAAATAGTTCATATATGTTTGTTAATGATAAGTAAATTTTCTTTTGCTTAAAAATTATTTTGCTGCACCTTAAAACCACATAAACTACAATTACTTCACAATTGTAAAAAAAGATATACAAAAAAAAGAACTTTACAAATAAGAAAGAGTACATAAAATAAATACAGACAAAAACCATAGTTCAAGAAAGAACATAATAAATGCTATAAGAAAAGTACTGTATAAACCATTTTCTCTCAAAGGAGGGAGAGACATTATCTGGTAGGGGGGGATCAGCAAATGAGGAAAATGGCATTTGAAATGCATTTCAAATAATTTGAAATTCTGTAAAAGCAAAACAAGTAAAGGTGCTCACTGTCAGCTAATGGAAAAAGCAGGAAAACAATCCAAATTTTCACTTCCTTTCATGCTATTCACATATTAAACCAAAGCCATTCATCTAATGCCCAATGTAGAACCCTAAATTGTCACACTTTAGGTTGAGAATGCTATCATGAATCAGGAGACGGGATAGACCATATTCCCACAATTATACCTACTTCTGCTTCTTCCTAATATATTAAAAATTCTTTCATTTCTCCCTCCAAACAAATCAATCACTAGGCCAGAGCTGCCACCAGGGATACGGTGACACGCGGTGGTGTGTAGACCGTGGAATTCAATGAGTCAGGTCAAAGCGGATCCCTACAGCCCCCAAGGCAACCGGGCCCCGCACAGAGGGCCGAAGCTCCCGGGATGGCCATCTTCAGTTGTGAGTAACCTTGCCTGGGACTCCCCAGATCCAACTCCCTCTCCCAGAGACGATGATTGATGAACCACATCCCACACCCACTGCTCCTCTGTCAGAGACAGAGCACAGCCAGGGCGTTGCTCAAGCCCCTGGACGTGGATGTGTTGGCCGGCTGCGGAACATACCAATGCCCCATGAAACCACTGGAGGAGTTTCCAGCTGAGGGGTCCAAGAAGACGGGACACGGCCGAAGGTGCTGACAGCTGGGAGGAAAGGGGAAAACAGAGATCCTGGAAGGCTGCATACAGACAGTGGTCCCAAATCACTGCGTTTACATACATCACACGTTTCTGTCTACTGGAAGCTGATGGATCCTTATAGCAGTTTCCAAGTAGTTATAAGGTCATTGCTTGATATATATTTCTCTCTCAATAAGAGTTTCATCATTATTTTGAAATATTTGATATGAAACATCTTACTGATTTTAATTCTATTTATTTATCCTAAGAAATGTTACCATATTTGTCATGAAAAAAGAACTGTTAAATTTTAGTTTTGACTCTTAGAAGTTTGAATGATTGTAAAAATAGTCTAAAATATTTTAATACCTGTTGAGAGACACAGCTTCTCATCAATAGAGGCTACTCGAGGATTTTAAAAGACCACCACTTAAAAATCCTGATTAGGAATTGCACAAAGTCACCTCAAGCATTACATCTGATATTAAATATTATGCATTTATGTATAGTTCTTAGAAAGTAGCTGGGGAAAGCCACAGTAGCTACCTTATACACATTTAAAATACCAGCAGCAATAACAAAAATCCTTGTCTGAGGCGTGGTTTAGTTTCCTTCAACAGCAACAGCACATAAAAGCCAACCGTGGTGCCCTTCCAGGGGGCACCCTGTAGGTCCCAGCCTTCTGCAGCTGGGAATTTGCAGCGTCTGTAGAGACAGAAGAGCCATGCACACGAGTAACTACAAGATGAGGAGAGATTTACATTTTGTTTAGAACTGTGTTCATGGAATGAAAAATAATAATAAAGCATCAATAACAATAAATGCCAGTTTTTAACTGCTCACTAGAAAAAGTTATGTACATCCAAAAAGGAAATTAAGAAAATAATTCCATTTAAAATAGAATCAAAAAGAATTACTTAACCAAGGATGCAAAGAGTTGTGTACTGAAAACTATACAACATTGCTGAATGAAATCAGAGATACTAGAAAGAAAGACATATCATGTTCAGGAATTGGAAGACAATATTGTTAAAATGACAATACCACCCGAAACAATCAATCTATATAGAATACAGTCTCTATCAAAATTCCAATGATATTTTATTTTTTTGCAGAAATAGAAAAAAATACCCTAAATTTCATATGGAATTTCAAGGGACCTTGAATAGACAAAATAATCTTCAAAAAAAAAAACAAAGTTGAAAGACTCATGTACCCTAATTTTAAAACTTACTATAAAATTACAGTAATCAAAACAGTGTGGTACTGGCATAAAAACAGACATCTAAACCATTGGAAGGGAACAGAGAGTCTAAAAATAAACCTACTCATACTCAATCAAATGATTTTCAACAGGAGTGCCAAGCCCATTCAGTGGGGAAAGAACGCCCTTTTCAACAAATGGTGCTAGGAAATCTGGATAACCACATGCAAAAGAATGAAGTTGGACCCTTATGTCATCTATAAAAATTAACTCAGAATGAATCAAAGACCTACGTAAGAACTAAACCTATAAAATACTTAGAAGAAACAGAAGGATAAGTCTTCATGATCTTGGATTTCGCAATGGATTCTTATATACAACATCAAAAGCATGCGCAACAAAAGGAAAAATAAATTACACTTCATGAAATTAAAAACCTTTGGGTATCAAACAACCCTATTAAAGAAGTAAAAAGACAACCTACAGAATGTGAGAAAAAAATTTGCAAATCACATATGTGATAAAGGTTAATATTCAGAATATATAACAAACTATAAACTCAGGAAGAAAAACATAAATGATCCCAAATTTTAAATGAGCAAAAGACTTAAATAGACGCTTCTTCAAAGAAGATATACAAATAAGCATATGAAAAGATGCTCGACATCACTAGCAACAAGAGAAATGCAAATCAAAACCACCATGAGATATCACTTCACATCTACTAGGATGGCAAATAACAAGTTCTGGTGAGGACGTGGAGAAACTGGATCCTTGTCCATTGCTGGTGGGAATGTGAAATGGCACAGCCTCTTTGGAATACAGTATCGCAAGTCCTAAAAAAATTAAATAGATAATGTATCGTTAAGCAGTCTGAATTCTGTTCTTGCTCTGATAGATTGATATTTCAGCCTTTACGGAATGTGAAAGAAAGCAGGCTGGGATTTAGGAATATAATGAAGAGAAGCATTCATTTTATCACTTGTTATTTGAATTATTCACAAGAATGGTTTATAGTCATATATTGCTTGTATAATTAAAAATATACCCCCAAAGAAACTAATAAGAGAACTGAATATACCAAGTTCTTTGTATATATTTTTCTTAGGAGAATTATAAAAAGTCAATCATATAGAAAGTTAATAAACACACTAAAGTAGAAAATACCAGGAGAGAGGTACTTAAGAAATATAGAATATGGCCCTGGCTGGTGTGGCTCAGTGGGTTGAGTGCCAGCCTGTGAACCAAAGGGTCACCAGTTCGATTCCCAGTCAGGGCACATGCATGGGTTGTAGGCCAGGTCCCCACTAGGGGTGCATGAGAGGCAACCACACACTGATGTTTCTCTCCCTCTCTTTCTCCCTCCCTTCCCCTCTCTCTAAAAATAAATACAATATTTTTTTAAAAAAACAAAGAAATACAGACGAATTTGCAATGAAGCTTTGCAAACATATAAGTGAAACAATCACAAATTATTATACATTAAAATATCCATCAGCTAAAATTGATCAGTCATCTAATAGCACATTCATAGTAGGCATTGTGCTACACACTACAGAGAATGTTAAGGTATACTGAGACACAGCCCTATAGGAGCTCACAATTTTGTTAAGAAATTGAAAAATTTAGACATAAGTTAAAATATATACGCGGCAATGTGTTCCTCAAAACAAATGATTTACTCTACATGAGTTATGCTCTCCTTTAAGGACAAAGACCCCATGTTAAGGTTACATTATTTTGCAACTGTCCACAATAGCCTTGTACTTTTCAGATCCATTGATTGAGAAGATACACAGAAAAAAGTTCCTGTGACTATAGGAGCAATTTACATTAGTGCATAGCCGCTACCAATCATGGAAAAACAAAATAACACCATTTAAATAAAATGGAAGTGTATCGCTCTCATGAAACCATAAGCAGTTCAGGACTGGCATTGTGGCTTCCCAAATATCGGGAGGCCAGGCTCCTCTGATCTGGTAAGTCCACCATCCTCAGGATGCCACCTCTGCCTCGTGATCCACAATGACTGCTTCAACTCCAGGAGCACATCCTGATTCCAGTGAGCAGGAAGAACAAAAAAGGCACACTCTCTCCCTTCGCACTCTTACATGTGTTAGAGTCAGAATGACCCAGCTTCTAATCACAGCTCGACCGGTTACTAGCTGTGCAACCCAGGAGTCAGTTATTTAACCTTTGTAAACATCAGCTTTCCAGAAGTAAGACACACAACACTTATGCTTATATTCCCTTGTCAAAATGTGTTTACTTGACCACATTTAGCTGCAAGGGAAGCTAGAACATGCAGTCTTTATACTGGGGAGCAATATGTCCTGTACACATTATGGAAAAGGCTAGAATGGATTTGGGGAAACAAAAGATCTCTGCCACACACTTTTTTTCCTAAGAACATTAATGAGAAAAATATATACTTTCAAATTTTTGAAAAACAGAGGGAAATATATGTGCAAGACATATGAATTACTTAATCTTCAGATAATGTTTGGTGACATTCTGAATCTGAGGATCTGGTCACAAACTGGTCTCAACCGCAAGCTGCGCACAGCTCAGAGGCGGTCTGGATGAGTTTAGGTTGGAAGGGTTTCCTGGAGGAGATGAGCTGGGCGGTGAAGAATGTGCACGATTGTGAAACAGAGGCAGGGGGGCAACTGAGAGCAACTTGACAGCAAAGGCAAGGAAGCAAGCAGGGCAGTTTGGCTGGAGCAGAAGCATGTGGAAGTACTTTATAAACCCAAAACAGTATGAACATTGTCTTTATCACACAGCAAGTATTGGGAGGTAAGGTTAAAGAAGACTGAAAAGTTATAGAAAAGCTCGAATAGTAAAGGGAGGCTTTTGACATTCTGGCTCCGCCAGTTACTAGATATGTGGCCTCAGGCCAAGTTAAGCTCTGGGACTTGGACTTCCACATCTGTGAAATGTGGGTGATAATAACCATATAATAGAGTTGTTTTGATGTTAAATACTAGCATCTAGTCAGCATTCAAATAAATAGTTGGATTAATAAAAGATGTGAGCAATCAAGTAGCGTGGTAATTTTTAAAAGACTTTAGAGCAATCTGATAGCCAGGGTAGGAGTGATTCGAGAAGGAAAGTCTAAAGTTAGACAGAGCAAAGCAATCTCATCCGGCACAGCTGATGCACAGGGGTTTGCACTTTAAACTTTAGGCAGAGAAAAATTGGAGTTGGCAGAAGGAATTTTGGAGGCAGTGATATCAGTTAGCAGTACTGCCAAAGTCCAGGCCCAGGGATGACGGCCTGAAATAAGACAGTAGCTGCAAGGATGGAGAAAAAGATCTGGCCTTGAAAGGAACTTTTGCCGGAGGAGGTGAAGAAAAGGGAAGACAGGTTCTGGCTCGGGTGATTACATGGCCAGTGGTGCTATTAACCAAAACAAGAAAAAGAGAAAGAAAACAAAAATGGGGCAGATAAGTTCAGTTTCGACTATTGAGGGGATGCAGGGCTGTCCAAATGATGAAGATTCATCATTACCCAATGGGTGCAGAGTCCTGACATAGAAGAGGTATCTGGACCAGTGCTGTATAGATTTGGAAGCCCTGTGAAGCAAGGGTGGCTGAAACTAGCAGGAGAAGAGGAGCTCCCCCAGAGAAATCCTGTAGAACAGAATCCTGAAGGACAGCGCTTTCATGGGCAAAGAAATAGAGAAGCCAGAAAGGAGAGCGTAAAAATCAGAGATGGGAGAACTGAGAGACAATGGGATCAAAGCAACCAAGAGAAAGAGGAGTGACTAAATAGAGGCTTCAAGCTGTTTGTGAGTTCCCAGACAGTTACAAGGAGGTGAAGAGATTAGCAGACTGCTCAAATGTTAAGGTGTAATGTTGCTGAGGGCTCTTCGGAGTGGTTATTTGAGAGTTGCATGGAAAGATTAGTCGGCTCCAGAAGTGCTGACCTGCTGCTGGAATGAAGAAGAGTTGGGGTAGCAGTAAAAAGAAATTTGCCTCTACAGTTACACCAAGGCAACAAGAAGGTGGGGGAGTTGTTGGCATCCCCCTTGTGCCTCCATCTTGATCTGTCTCTCCTACTAGTGGACTAAAGTTCTGGAAGGGTAAACGTGGAAGGTGCTAGCCGACGCAGCTTAGCCCTCTCCTCTCAGAGCCCACTAGACTGTGAACTCTTCAAGATGTATCCTCAGCATCGATCGCTGCACTGTGAATATAGATGGCACTCATGCCTGTTGAATAAAAAGCCAAAAGCAAATAAGATAATTGGCCAACAAGAGAAATAAGTGTTGGGAGGACATGAGCAAATAATTCAGAGAAGAAGCTGGAGGTCTTGAAATCCAATTCAGAAATTAGGCTCAGCTACCTATCTACCTTTTTAACCTCGAGCAAGTTACTTAAATACACAGTCAGGATTACAGTAAAATCCTCCCTAAATGTAGTGCACACCTCAGTGACAATGTGAATAATGTACCGGGCAAAGTCCTTACTTCCAGCTCTCCAGAAGTCTGATGTGAAAAACATTTAGTACCTTTTTAAAGGAATTATAACTATAAATTTACCACTTATTATCAATCGATGCCACCAACTAATGTTTATTGCAACCAGGAACTACACAGCCACACTGCAACAAAACCATGGAGATAAACTTTATCTTTCTTCATAGGTTTCAGTAAAGGGTTCAGAGAAATTAATTTAAGTAAAGGAACACTTAACAGGGAATAATAACCTCCATAAAAATCAATTAGCTCATTCTTAAAAATGTACCTGTTAAAAGACTATTAAAAGGTCTTGTACTCAGAACCATTGTTACTAAGCCAAAGCTTCTTTCTATTACACTCATTTGGCAAAAAGTAGGAAAGAACATATGCAGCTTTTTCCTATATCTATGATTTGCTATCTAAAAAAAAACCCCAGGGTGGGTGGAGGTGGAAGAGGGTGTAAGGGAAAAACATAGTAATGAGATGGGGGAATACAATTAAAAAATAAACTATTTTTAAAACTCCAAAGGAAAAAAGATAGTAGCTCTCTAAATCGTACTTACAAATTCTGCTTCGGTAATAGTTGGTGGCTCTGAAACAAGATAAAATATTACATTATCTCACTCAAATCTGATTTCCTTCTAAAGTAAATGAAATAATTTGAGACAGCACCTAGCCCTACTTTATACCGGGCAAGCTCAATAAAACCTTGGCCCTCTGTTCATTTTCTGCACATGGATTGAATTTTAAGTTGGAATTCAAGGTGGAAGTAGGAGGAAAGGCCCCTGGAATCCAGCTTGGCCACTAATTCACTGTGACCCTGGAGTTAACCTTAATAGATTGAGGCCTCCATTATTCCGGCTGCAAAGCAGAGAATTAAGCAAGTTAAAATAACACGGTGCCAAGGAGGCAATGTCCATGCGGGACGCGGTGAGGGGTGGAAATCCTAATAAAAGGCCTTGGGAGAGCAGGGGGACCGTTTCTCTGAATGTTTGTTAGAGGGGACGCCTGGGCGGGTCCAGTAACATCGGAGGCGGGAGCGAGATCAGGTCTGGACGCCGCGTCCTTCGTCCTCCGACCCCTGCGCCGCGGGCCGGCCTGCCCCACCTACCGACGGTGAGCCGCTTCTCCGGCATCCCGCCGCCGTTGCGCTCGCCCCGCGTCCGCGCGGGCCCTCAGGGCCCCGTCGGCGTCGGCCGGGCCACCCGGAGCCCTGCCTCCCGGGAGACGCCGACGGCGCGGCGCGGGTTCCGGGGCTGCGCGGGCTGCGGCGGCCCCCGCCTTGCCCAGGTTGCTAGGAGCTCAGACAATGCGGGCGCCGACCAGCGGGCCGCCCCGCGCCGGGCGCAGCACCCGAAGGCAGGACAGTCACTAGTAGCTTTTCGGGGGGCCCTGGGCTGAACGAGGGACGCGCGGGGCACAGCAGCGCGGGAGTGGGCACCGCGCACGCCCGGCCCGCCCGGCGCGGCCACCGCCGAAGGCCCTGGAGACACGCGCCGGCTCTGGAGTTACTGAGGCTCAGGCCTGTGCTTCCCCCAAGACGTGCCAGACGCACCGTTCAGTAAATTTGATGCCCGGTAGTAAGACAAGACCCGCTGGCAAGGGGGTTCGGGACTGGGGGCCAGACCGACTGGTCCCGAGAAGAGCAGAGGCAGGAAGAGAACAGATGGGCTCGAGAATTTTCTTCACAGTGATAGAGGACGTTCAACACACATCGACTGAGCTCATTCCCAGTGGTATGAAGGTGTATATAAAAAGCTACATATTCATGTGCTCTGGAGGCCCATGTGGAGCAGATCTGCCCCATTTTTTGTTCCAATCGGTTGGAACAGCAGCATTGCCGGGATATCTAAGCTTTAAAATTATCTGAGGAGACCATTGACAAGGGGACAATAAATTGAGGGGCTCATAGTGTATGTCCCTGGAAAACTTACAATGAAAATGTTTAAGTCAAAAGTAAAATTTGAAAGGAAAAAAAGAATAGAAAAAAAATGAACATTTGTAGAGAAGTCATGGTCAACTCGAATTCCCAGCCCAGCCCTCTCCCCCTGAGCCTGAGACCCTATGTCCAGCAGCTTGCTGTTCACAGTGGGGGCTTTTCCTTGTATGCTTCCAAATCAAAATTCCAAAAGGAAATCTGCACTTTCCTCACTCCTTATCTTCAAATTACACCTTCCTTCAAAACCCCATGTTCACCAAGTGGTACCAAGTGACTCAAAGCAAAAAGGGCATATTCAGTCAAGCGCTAGGTCCTACTCAGTCTACCTTAATTTTTTTAGAGAGGACAAATAGAGTGAGATGGGGAGAGAAAGAATGATTCATTGTTTCACTTATTCATGCATTCATTGGTTGATTCTTGCATGTGCCCTGACAGATCCAACAGGGAACCTCAACGTGTGGGGCCGATGCTCTAACAAACTGAACTACCTGGCCAGGGCTGGGCTTCCATTTAAACTGTTGTAAAATCTTCCCAAGTTGTCCCTCTTCCAGCTTTGCTCCCAATTGAGGTCCCCTTAAATCTGTCTTCCATGCTGAAGGCAAGATACCTTAAATGCAAATCTGGCCTCCATAAAAGCTTCGGTTGCTCCACATTTGCCTCCTGCAGTGTGGGACCTCTCCAAGGCCAGCCAGGAGCCCGCACTAGGTGAACTCTTAGGCAAGAAGTAAGACAATGGGGTCTTGCGTTGCAAGGAATTGTAATACCTGCCTTTTCAGTATTACATAGGCAAAGACAAACAAACCACTACCTTGGCCAAACTAAATAGAAGGCCGAATGACGTGAAAGGAGAGTGGAAAAGGAGAACAGAAAGGTAAGGGGAGATGGAGGAAACAAATCATGAAGGGCTCTATGGGCCCTGCATGAAATGAGAACGATAGGAGTTTTGAACAGAGAAGCACCCTGATTTTCCTTTTCTTTGAAAAGGATCACTCTGGGTACTGGAAGAGAATGTAGATGAGCACAAGTAAAAGCAGGCGAGAGCTGATGGTGACCCATACCAAGGGTGGTAAGCAGTATCCAGTTTGAGAAAGACTCAGATTCTGCATATCTTTTAAAGGCAGAGCCAAGAGGATTTCCTGACAAGTTGAATATGAGAATGTAACAAAGAAAGTAGAGAATAACTCCAAGGATTCTGGCATGAGCAGCTGGAATGATGGAGTTGCCATCATCAGAATGGGAAAAGCTAAGCAGACTGCCTTGTCGCAGAGATGTGAATGAAGCTGGTTGGCCACGCAGGTGAGGATTTTGTAGTTGATAGACGAGCCTGGAGTTTGGGAGATACCATTTTGAGAGTTGACGTATAAATGGGTGTTTCGGTTGTCTGCTTGGGCTGTTTCTGCCGCCAGGGGAGCCCTTCTGGCCTTCATCAGCCTAACTTTTCTCATCCTTTGATATTCAGCTTGGGGGTCATCTTCTCTGGCACACTTTCCCATGAATTACGTTCATTCACTTCTAGTGCTCCTGTATACTCCTGTGCACACTTATATCTGAAAACCATATTACTATTAAAATCATCCATATGGGGGTACACCCTCTAAACCTCAGTGCCACCCACCAGACAATAAAGTCCTGGAGATCGAAGAAGATATATCTTATTTTATGCCCCACCTCACCCCTAAGTGCCTACCACTCAGCAAGTATTTGTTGAAATATCTTCTCTCCACTGCAATCATGCTGCACTGGGCCCCCTCACAGAGATTTATTCATTTTAGATAACCATACCAATGAGAAGTCAATAGTTGGCTTTAACATTAAGTGTGTCTAACATTTACTGCACACTTACTATGGGCCTCTAACGAAACCCCTAAGAGATTGTGATTACTGTTCTCAACATTTTAGGAAACCGAGACTCAGAAAGGCGGGATACTTTGCTCAAAGAGAAACAGCTTGAAAGTGTTGAAGCCACAAGTCAACCCAGATCTGTCTTATCCAAAACCTTCACTCTTTAACAACCGAGCTATTCAGCCGTTCTCTCTAAAAATAACCTCATGTGATCTAAAAAATGACACAAGAATTACAAAGGCTGTAATTCTAACCCAAATGTGTAAATTACAAGCTATTTTAATGTTTTGGTAATTTTATTTTTTTGAAACAGCTCTAGGGTTATTGTATAATGTAATTCATACCTCATACAATTCACCTGAGGTGCACAATTCAATGGGTTTAGTATACTGTGCCACTCTCACCAGAATCACTTTCGGACTATTTTTGTCACCTCAGAAAACCTTTTTAGCTGTCATTTCCTGTTCTCCCCTCCCAAGCAACCACTAGTCTACCTCCTCTCTGTGTATTTGCCTATTCCGGACATTTCATCGAAATGAAGCATACCATATGTTGGTTTCTTTCACTTAACATAATGTTTTTAAGATTTGGCATGAATCAGTACATCTTCCCTTTTTATTGCTGGATAATATTCCACTGCATGATATATCCTAATGTGTCCACCCACGAGTTGGTAAACATTTGGTGGTTTCTATTTTGGGGCCATTATGAACCATGCTGCTGTGAACATTCACATACAACTTTTTCTGTGGGCATATGTTTTCATTTCTCTTGGAGATAGACCTGGGAGTGGAATTGCTGGGTCAAAAGGTAGTTTAAATTGTTTAGCAAGTCTGTATCTGACTCTTTAAGGAACTGCCGGGCTGTTTTCCAAATTAGCCAAACCATTTTATATCACTACCAGCAGTGATGAGGGTTCTGATTTCACCGAATCCTCCCTAGCACCTATCACTCGACTTTTTTTATAATAGCCATCTTAGTGGGTGTGAAGTGATTATCTCTTTGTGGTTTTTATTTGCATTTCCCTGGTGACTCGATTTTACTTTTTTTAAAATATATTTTATTGATTATGCCATTACAGTTATCCCATTTCTCCCTTTCATTCCCCTCCACCCTGCACACCCCCTTCTACCCACATTCCCCCACTTTAGTTCATGTCCATGTGTCATAAGTTCTTTAGATTCTATATTTCCCATACTATTCTTGCCCTCCCCCCATCTATTTTCTCCCCACCATCTATGCTACTTATTCTCTGTACCTTCTCCCCACCTCTCCTCTTCTCATTCCCCTGTTGCTAACCCTCCATGTGATTTCCATTTCTGTGGCTCCACTCCTGATCTTAGTTTGCTTTTGTTTTAGGTGTGGTTGTTAATAACTGAGTTTGCTGTCCTTTCACTGTTCATCTTTTTTATCTTCTTCTTTTCTTAGATAAGTCCCTTTAACATTTCATATAATAAGGGCTTGGTGATGATGAACTCCTTGAACTTGACGTTATCTGAAAATCGCTTTATCTGCCCTTCCATTCTAAATGAAAGCTTTGATGGATAGAGCAATCTTGGATGTAGGTTCTTGCATTTCATGACTTGGAATACTTCTTTCTAGCCCCTTCTTGCCTGCAAGGTCTCTTTTGAGAAATCCGCTGACAGTCTGATGGGCACTCCTTTGTAGGTGACTGTCCCCTTAGCTCTTGCTGCTTCTAGGATTCTCTCCTTCATTTTAATCTTGGCTAATGTAAATGTGATGATGTGCCTTGGTGTGTTTCTTCTTGGGTCCAACTTCTTTGGGACTCTCTGAGCTCCCTGGATTTCCTGGAAGTCTATTGCCTTTGCCAGATTGGGGAAATTCTCCTTTATTATTTGTTCAAATAACTTTTCCACTTGTTGCTCTTGCTCTTCCCCTTCTGGTACCCCTATAATTCAAATGTTGGAATGCTTAAAGATATCCTGGAGGTTCCTAAGCCTCTCCTCATTTTTTTGAGTTCTTGTTTCTTCATTCTTTTCTGTTTGGTTGTTTCTTCCTTCTGGTCCACTCCATTGATTTTAGTCCCAGTTTTCTTTCCATCACTATTGGTTCTCTGTGCATTTTTCTTCATTTCACTTATTGTAGCCTTCATTTTTTCATGTAATTTCTGACCAAAATCAACCAGTTCTGTGAGCATCTTGATCACCAGTGTTTTGAACTGTGCATCTGATAGGTTGGCTATCTTTTGATTGCTTAAAAGTACTGGCTCTGGGCCTTTGATTTGTTCTTTCATTTGAGCCACAATTTTTTTTGTCAAGTCATGCCTGTTACGTATGATGGGCAGAGCCTTAGGTGTTTACCAGGGATGGGCAACCCCCCACCCCTCGTCACTGGGTTGTGACACTGTATGTGGGGGTGGGGTCAGAGAGGGAGCAATGGCAC